TGTAGAAGGCGGCGAGGCGAGTTGTTGTGACTTCCGACTCGACAGAGGGAACGACGTCGAAGGAAGGAGAGAACTAGGCGAGTTGTTTGTGACTTTCAACCCAATAGAAGGAACGGCGTAAAGCCGTCGAAGGTGGCAAGGCCCATGCAAGTTGTCGTGACTTCCGACCCGACAAAAGGAATGGCATCGAAGGCAGGAACATTGAGCTATCATGAACTGAATCCGACCTCGTGGCGCGATGGAGGATGGGAACCAGATCGGTTCCGAGTTGAAGTCGGGTTTTCAGGTTTACCCGAACCCCACTGTTTCTCAAACGGGTTGGCATTAACTCAAAATTTTTGGGGTGTGTTCAAGTTGCATTTTTGAGTCGTGTCAAATATTGAAACCCACTCTATATCTAGAATTGTGAGTGACACACAAGATTTACAATCAAGAGCAAATACGATCTTCATACTGATAAGCAAACCAATATCAAATGGAAGGTTTTTTAAATCTACTTACAGATCTTTTGATGATTCTATTACTACTCTCAACTTCTATTCTGATTTTGATCTTTGTCATTCTTTTCTATCTAGATAAGAGAGTAAGAATCTAGTCATTATTTCAACAAAGAAGCATTTTATCAAACACCACAAGAGCATATCAATTACAATTCAATTTCATAACAGGATAAACAAAAACATGACTAAAAAACTAATACAAACTTCATTTTTCATCAGGAAGGAAGTCAATTGTTTGTCCAATACAAAATGCTATTACAAAATGCATAATTTTGCTGCATTTAGCAAATTCCCAATCCCACAGACATGCATCATTATGACGAACAATAATAAGATACATAACAACATTTTATTCTTCTCTTCACTGCAATTAGCAGCCCTGGAAAAAAATACTTGCAGTAAAAAATAGATGGGAGCAAGAAAACGAATTGCTAGAAAATTCCAAACGGCATTTTGTATAATTTTAAGCAGACTATTGTTTAAATTTAGAACGCCTAAAAATTCCAAATGCTGTTGGCTATTATAGTGCTAAAATCCATTGCAAGAACAAATGGAAAGATCCATAGTATTAAAAATCCTAATAGGAACAGTCGAGAAAAAAGCAAACATTTGCTGCATCTTACGAATCCTACCTCTCATGATTTGTCGAGGAGACGAGGTGGCGTGTCACACTCTAGGATTTATATTGGAAAAATTATATTTGTCTTTCATTTTAATCATTTAACTAAAGCTTACAAATAAACAATAGAAAAAATATGATTATATTTTTGTCTTACCAAGAGCCTCATATCATAGGATCTTGACATTTTTCTTAAAATATGTAAAATCATATAATGAGCATATAACGCAGCATGTAACTAAAATCTTACAATCAAAACTAATGCAAGATAAAAGAGAATAATATGATATAAATCATAAAAAAATATACTTGCATCAATTTCTATACTGATTATATGTATCAAATTATCATTCTATAGTTCATCACATCTCAATCTATTACATCATCAGTCATAGTAGCAATAAAAGTTAACATTAATAACCAATAACGTTAAATATTGATAATGATAAAAAATAATATTAGTGGCAATCACAATATCAGTGCAGTTTTTGTAGTAGTGTCAATATCAATATTCAGATATTCAATGAATATATCTTAAAGATATCTTGTTCATGCACTTATAACTCCTAATCAGTCTCCGTTTATAACTCTCAATTAATGTTCTCCTTATAACTCCCCTTACAATACTTGAATCAGTCACCCCGACTCATTATAACTCACAATCAATCTCCATCTCTTTATGACTCATAATCAATGCATCACATAGATCAGTAGGGTATCATGTGGAGTAATTATATCATGTATATGATATCATTCAATACTTCATTTAGAATACAATAAAATCATATCAAATCATTCAGAATGATCAAATCTATAATATATTCAAACTTGTATAGTGAAAGCTTATAAAATATGGAGATAATATATTTTTAATAGATTTATGAGAGATAAAATTCATAGTAATCAAAATTATTTAAAATAGAAGTAAAAGATTAGTCACTTATGATGAATAGAATAAAATCTGTAATATGAATGATTGACAAATATGATCAAAAGGCTTTTCTCTCTCCTATCTCTTCTTCCCCTATCTTAATTCCATCCTGACCAAGCAATTAAGTGAGGGAGTTGGTGGGCTGTGGCAAGAATATATATATTTAAATAATATTCATGGTCTAGCGCCACAGTGCTCACCAAATCAATGCCAAAGTGCTCAATTAAAAAAAAATACAAAAAAAACTATTTCACTTATGTAGAGGGGAAGTGGAGCGCTTTGGCACTAGAGCTGTCAATTTTTGACACGACCCGAAACATGACCCGAACCCGACCCGGAAAAATCCGGGTTCGGGTCGACCTGGTTATCAAATGGGTCGGGTTCGGGTTCGAATATCTGACACGATTTGAGTTCCGGGTCGGGTTCGGGTTGACCCGGAAACCCGGTAATGACCCGGAAATGCTTCTGCCCATTTCTGCTGCCCGACGTGCCCGCCCTGCCCGTGAAATGTCCCGGGCGTGCCGCGTACGCGTCCAGCCGTCCACGCTGTCCAGTCATGTCGACTCCGTCTGCCCGCGAAATGACCCGCGGTCAGCGCGTCCAGTCGAGTCGACTCCGTCGAGTCGCCAGTTCGCCTCCTTCGAGGCTGTCGCCGTGCTGCCGTTGCGCTGTTGCTGCCGGACCGCCGGTCCGCCGCGCTGTTGCTGCCGCACCGCCGCCGCTGCTGTTGCCAGTCGTTGTCTCGCCGTCGCCACTTCAGCCAAACACTCAAATCCGTGTCGGGTTGACCCGGACCCGAATCGGGTCGGGTTCGGGTCTGGAAACCTGACCCATTTTTAGAAACAGATCGGGTTCGGGTTGACCCGAATAGTACCGGGTCAATTTCGAGTCCGACCCGAACCCGATCCGTTGACCCGAATTGACACCCCTATTTGGCACTACGCCATGAAACCAAACAAGGATCGAATTTTTGACCGTATTTCCACCATAAGTTTCTTGTGAAAAAAACATCATTAATTTCACTGTTTAGAGCCAGATTTTCATCTCGCGGCCAATCCTCTCCCATTTCCCACAAAATATAATTCTATCTTCTTTCTTGGTCTCGCAATTTATTTGATTTCTACAGGAAGCTAAACGTAAATCTTCATCTCTTTTATCATTTTCAACCAATTAAAGATTTTATATGTTAGATTTTATTTAAAATATATTTGAGGCTTTTTAGCCGACATTATTATTTTTTTCTTTCTTTAATTTTTAGATATAATATAGGTCCTTTCTCCTTGTGCTGGTGGTTTCTAAGTTATAGGCTAAACAGATAATTGATTGCGATAATTTGAACACATAAATTTTTTCATTCCTAATTAGCATGTATAGTTAAATTGGCAAATTAGTCTAGATAACTAGTTAATTAAAGTTTAAAAATGGTTAACATATTAGCTTGTCTAAGGATTTCTACATTAAATTTAGAAGAATCGATTGCACTTGATAGGATTGGTCCTAAATAACTCCACATGGACAGTACGAGCAATATTTTGACTCTCAATATTGTTCTTCAACAAGTTCCATGATAGTGGAGGAGGAAAATACAAGGATGTACGAAGAGTGAGTTTTTCGATGCAATATGACTCTAATTTAGAAAAAAATATATATATAAGCCACTGAATAAGAACACACAAAATTTCTATGAATTATTACATACAACTCAACAACCAATTTGGAATATGAAATACGATATATGATACGATTGATATGATAGCTATACTAACTGATGAGAATGATTGTTTGATTGAATAATACAAGAAATATGACTGATATCCAACATCAATGACAAGGTACAGAGCTAAATACATAATGTATGACTAAAGACATATGATATATACGGCACACATGATAATATTAGTTTATTGATATAGAAATGATAATAATATATACGATAAAGCACTATTTATATGAATATGGTTTCGTGCATAATGTTTCTATTTTATGCATCGATTTTAATTGTAGATTTTGGTGACTTATTAGACTTTGGTGCTCGTTATATATATTTTTACATATTTTCAAATAAGAATAAGGAACCAATGGAGTGAGGTTGATCTAGGAAACAAGTTTAGGTTTTCTTTCTGCTTATATTAGTTCATTTTATGGCCATGATATATTCTCGTTAATGAATTGTTTGGATTGAATATCATGGCTTAGATGAATAGTAATTTATTTATATTTTCAACTGTCTTATTTTCTTTGGATGATACTAGTAACTTTGATTAATAAATTAGGAAAATAAAAAGATATAATTCTTTCTGATTTAGATGTTGGAACGCCATAAGGTGATAATAGATCTAGATTATCAGAAGAATTGAATTGTAATCAGAGCTGTATAACAAGACGAATCCAACAAATTCAAAATCGTTGAGTTCTGACATCATTAAGACACTCAAATATTTTTTTTTATAATAATGTATATAAATAGATTAGGTATGTCTATATTATGATAATTTACATAAATACATTACTAGTAACTTTAATTTAAATATTGTATTATGAAACTCATTTTTTAAATAATAATAAATTTTATTAAGAAATCGGAAATGGGTTTTCCGGTTTACTGAGAAATTGGAAATTTAATTCTCCGATTTATTAGAACCGGAATTTGTAATTCCAATTTGGCTCATTTCTGAATTTTGAGGTCTATTAGGCTATATATTATATACGGCTTTTTTATAAAAGTTTTTTTTTTTAACCTGTTCATTTAAAAAAAATATGTCTTCATGCAGTTTCTAAAAATTTGGCCAAAATTCGAATGAACAGAGAAATAAAACTGATGGATGATTCGTGACCCATTACTTAGTAGAGAAGTTTCTCTATGTAAAATAAGAAAATTTAGCGACATATTTTATTATCGCTGATTTAAAAAAAAAAAATGTCGGGACATGACAGAGATGGATAGTTTGCTGCTTCTAAGAGAAGAAACGAGTAGGAAGCTGAAGAACATTGACCCTAATTTGGGATCGAGATATTCTAGACTTCCCATGGCTGAGACACGTCGCGTGCGTCTCGTTTATAGCACGTGAGGGCTGAAATTTCCCGCGTTATCTCACACGCCATGCCCTTCGTCTCCCCTCAAATTCCTTACGTCCTATATTACCATCTGCAATCATCTCACCACGGATCAAGCAACCGAATCAGGGCAGCGACAAGAGGGCGAATCCATCATGGTGGTAGGCAAGTTGATAACGCGATGGTCGCCGTGGGCTCCGCCACCGGTGCCGAAGCAGCGGTACCTGGTGCGACTACACGTGGCGCGGCTCGAGGGGTTTTCTGTGGCGATAGCCGGAGAGTCGAGAGCGGTGGTAGCGGTGGGAGTTAGATGGAGGGGGCCGCCGAAGGGGAGGGGGATACCGTACCTTCATCGTCGGCGAAGAGAGATTCGATCCGGCGGGGTATCCGAGGAGGCTGCCGTGGGGATCACCGGAGATGTGGAGTGGATCAGAGGCGAGGAGAACGAGTTCGAGAAGGTCTGCTGTTTTTCCGGCGGTGGCGGGCCTTTCAGCCTTTGGGAGATATCCTTCTCCGTTCTATTCGTGAGTTTTTTTTTTAAATCTCTTTCCTTTTTTTTTTCTTACGTTACCCAATTACATGATTTAGGGTACTTAACCTAAATCCATCCAAATATTTGGGGCTTTTTTAAATCATGAATTTTGAATAAGAATTCTTTTAGATTAATAGTTCATTTGATTGGGTTAGTTATTGCAATCAATCATTTTTTTTTATTTTGTAAGAAATTTAAATATTTTAAAATTCAGATATGAACTGTATTTGAAAATTATGACTGTCTTAACTTGAAATCTATATTATTTTATTTTAGAGAGTATTAACAGTGAATTATAAGGGTTTAAAGTTAACATTTTTTTTAACTGCATCAAAAATTTATCATTTAACAAAATGTCTCTAACCTCAACCAAATCAAATGGGGCCTCAATGTTATACTAAATCCTGTATTCATCAATTGATGTAAATAGAATCTAAAGAATTTAAGGCTGTAGAATTTACGATATTGAAAACAAAATTTCTTAATTTCAAATAATTTTTATGAGTTAGTTTAAATTAAATATGCTGAGAATATTTCTAAATTTAACTCTCTAAATTTGAATTTTCATGGTTTACTAAATTCAATTTACTTCAAAACCTCCCAGCTAGGGATGTAAACGAGTCGAGTTTTAGCGCTATCGAGCTCAGCTAGTCAATCAGAAAGGGTGCTCGAACTCGAGCTCATCCCACTATAAACGAGCAATCAGAAAGGGAGCTCGAACTCGAGCTCGTCCCACTATAAACGAGCTCGAGCCGGCTCGCGAGCATCTCGATTTCTCATCCGTCTGATTTCTTATTTTTCCCGCACAGTTCTCATTTTCCCGCCTGTGAATGGCGCATCCGTCCAAATGGAAAGTTCTCATTTTCCGCCATTTGGATCCCATATTTCAAAATTAGGACAGTTTGCATTAATGAAAAGCTGCCTTCACTTGAAACTAGGCAATGTAAATAAACTATATGAATTACAATGAAAAGCAACAGTTTGGATCCCATTTTACAAGCAAGATATCATCTTTTATACATTAATGAAAAATGCGTGGACGGGAATTTAATATATAGGCGTGAAATTATTATTAATATTTTTAAAATATCCTAAATATAATAATTTCGAGCCGGCTTGTGAGCTCGCGAGCTCGCGAGCCGAGCCTCATCGAGCACGTGACTTGATAAGCTCGGCTCTCAAGCGCGAGTCAGCTCGCTAGCCAACTCGGATCACTTACACCACTACTCCCAGCTGTCAAATACCCTTGTATATATCTGCTTGTAATCGAGCGTATTGGATTCTCCTGTATTATTCTCACTTTAGGAACGTATGGTTGTGGCTTTGGCAGGGAAGTGGAGCTCTGGGGAAAGAGGGGAGGGAGAGGAAACTGCTGGAGGTGGGCAGTGCAGTGATAAATCTTGGACAATGGGCCTGGGATTTTCATGTCCAGAAGCAGTGTGGAGGGTTTGAAGGGAAGGAATCCCACTTCTATGCCGAAAGGAAGCAGTTTCCCATCACTGTGAGCAAAGATAACTTGACCGCCGAAGTCACACTTCATGTAAGCCCCATTTTCTTCTACTGAACGTTTGCTCTTGGATTGAAAGATTATGTTTCTATAACTAGTCATATTTTCATAACAAATGCATGCGGTATATACTATTTGGTTCAAGTGGATTAACTATCTATCGTAGTTAAGATTTAGGCTTCGTTTGGGACGACTTACTTTCTTCTTCTTAAAGCAGCTTTCTAGTTTAAAAATTAAAATTTTTGAACTAAAAAGCTGCTTGCAGTAAGAAAGTCGTCCCAAACAAAATCTTAAACTTAATTGCCTAGTTTATCCTATTTGATTTTCCTAATCCTAATCCACCTTTCCGGTAAATATGATTAATTTGTTTATCTAGGTCTTGAGATTAACTTCATCCCTCATACCAAATTTGAGATCTTATTCATGCTAAACAAATATTTTAGTTATCCTGATTTAATATTCCTGATTATTTATGCTTCTTTTGGGGCGGCTTTCTTACTGCTTCTTAAAGCTATTTTCTAGTACAACTATTACCTTTAAGAAGCAATAAGAAAGCCGTCCCAAACGAAGATCTTTATGATTCTAATCTCACTCAAATTAATCTAAAGGCTCATTTGATCGCTTAATGTTAGAAACATGTTTTGAAGAACAATGATCTTATTTTATTCAATCATTTCATTTGATATAATTAGAAATCAATATCACATTTCAACTCTACAAATTATCAAAAATGAGGATTTCAATTTCAGACTTGAATGGCAAGAAAACAAAACCTTCATTTTGTAAAAAAAAAAAATTCTATCTACAACCGAGCAAATGATTCATAATCTACCAAACTAGGGGCTGCTTGGTTTAAGAGTTATTTAGCATAAAAGTTAGCGTCTAATTATGGATAATGGATTGTGCCATTTTTTGTATGATTGGGTTAGCTTATCTTTATTAACTTATCTAATTTAATATTTTCTATCTAACTTTTAGCTTTAGTCCTTCTAAATTCTTGATGGCATCAAAGATTGAGCGATAAAAGCCTTTAGCCATTAAGTTACTATAGAACAACTAATCTTTAATCATAATTCATTCTTACCTGGATTTTTATTTTCTTTAGTTTGAATTTATTAGGTTTACATCATCATTGCTCATAATAGATGGAAAGTTAGATCAAATATTTAATATGCCAACTGTTAATTATTCTCAATCAAATGTTCATTTAAGAAAGTGAAATCCTTAAGTTTTACAATGTTTTTTTTTTTAAATGTTCAACTAAGAATGTCAAATTTGACTTCTGTTTTACTGTCAATTTTTGATATATGTATATTTATGTTGATGCATACAGGTAGATGTAAGCTTTATTGAAATTGAAACACCTAAAGAGATCCTTCAAGTAGCTACCTATGAAGATCAGCTGGCTAAAGGCACCCAGCAAGAGGAGGGTCTTGACAGTAGTGATGGCTTTGCCACAGATGATCCTTGCTCATCTTCTGATATGGATATGGATGTATCTCAATTGTTCCCCATTGCACACAATGAAGAGAAAACCATTAGATCCAAGAGCAGAAGAAAGTCTTCAAGCAGCCATAGTAGCAGCAGCAACAGTGGAAATTCTAGTCCAGAGTTACAGTTGCTATCAGTTTCAAAGCGTAGATTCCTTCCATGGGGATCCAAGAGTCGGGCGAAGAAGATATCTGAAGAAAAAATCAATAAAGAGACCTCCCCAGTTAACAACTTAACGAATGGTATCTTGGTAAGCAAAATTTAAACCAAAAGTCACTGAATTTTGCAATTATTACTCTCTCGAGATGATTAATTATTTATTTGTTTTTTGTCACAGAGTACAGAGCCTCCAGAATTCAAAGAAAATGATGATCCAATTGGTAAATGGGAGAGCAAAGAATTCATTAGCAGAGACAAACGAACAAAGCTCAAGGCTCAATCTTTTTTTGCCTCCATTGACCAGCGCGATGAGAGTGCAGATGGGGAGAGCGCCTGCACCGCACTTGTGGCTGTGATTGCCAATGCTCTTCATTCCAGCGGTGCGAACACGCTCACCAGGTATGAGTTCGACTCCCTTATCAGAGAGGGTTCGTCCCAATGGCGAAGGCTCTGTGACAATCCATCATGCATAGAACGCTTCCCCAACAAACATTTTGATCTTGAAACCATCTTAGAAGCCAAGATAAACTCGACCTCAGTTCTCCAAGAGAAATCCTTCATTGGTTTTTTCCAGCCAGAGAGCTTTGAATCCTTACAAGGGGCTATGTCGTTTGATGATATATGGAATGCGATTTCAAATGATGTTGAAGATGTGCCTAAAATTTATATAATCAGTTGGAATGATCACTTCTTTGTGCTCATGTTGGAATCAGAAGCTTACTATATCATTGACACATTGGGTGAGCGATTGTTTGAAGGATTCAAACAAGCTTACATGCTAAGATTTGATGAATCAACAGAGATATACAAGTTGCCGGTGGTGGAAGAAGACAAGGTCAAGGCAGAGAATGAAGAATTTGAAGAGCTGATTAGTAGTGGGAAGGATTGTTGCAGGGAATTTATAAAGAGGTTCTTTGCTGCGATACCTGTAAGGGAGGAGATAGAGCTTCTGGAGAGAGGAAAGGGAAATGCCAACACTGTTTTGCATCAGAGGTTACAGATTGAATTACATTATACAGTGACTTGTTGTAATGTTAGTAATTTGTGAATTAGATTGATCTAAATGCTAATGTGATTATAGGAGTTAGAAGGCATTAACTTGTTCTTCTAATGGAGGTCAGATACTTACTGATGTAGTTACAATGTATATAAGATTTTCATTTGTACAGTTTGTCAGTTCGTATAGATGATTAACACATAAGTTTTGTACTTTATAATTTTCGATTTTCTTAGAAGCCATACGTTAAATTATTTTATCCGAATTCATGATTGCTAAAATTCTGATCTAGCGGATCATGGCTTGAAATTGGTTTTTTTTTTTGCCTTTATCTATTGGAGTTTAGGTTGGTATCTGTTCAATCTAGCCTCAACACAATGGGGACCGCATCAAACTAAATGCATTACAAGAAGAGTTTTTCAATTTAATTCCTGAAATGCCATTTATTCATTTTACATTATATTCATGTCCTTAAGATCAAATAGGATATGGATTCTTAGGCTTTGTTTGTGATAATTTTTTTACTACTTTTTAAAGCAATTTTATAGTGGCAAAAATTTATAAGGCCAAATTATAAAAAGGAGCACGATTAATATTTAAATTTCCATAAAAATTATAAATGCAAAAAAAATTAAAAAGGAGCAAAACCGGAGGGCAAAAATTCGGTTTCTTAGGAAACCGGATCATTAAAATCCGATTTCTATAGAAACCGGATCATCAAAATCTGGTTTCAATATAAATTGGATTTTCATTCTCCAGTTTCCATATAAACCGGATTATCATCCTCCGCTTTCATTTAATTATAGCTTATTTAATAATGTTAAGCCGTCTTAATATTTTTTAAGGTAATAAATTAAGAAACCGGATTGTTAAATTCTGGTATGTTTATTAAATTATTAAATATTTCCAGATTGTTAAGCCCGTGATTCATTTTGGTCGGCATTATCTCTTCTTTTTCCACACCGAAATGATTCATTCTCGCCCGTGATCCACAAATTGCGTGCTCCCGTGAATTTCGGTCATCCTTTTCCTTGAATTCATGCCGCAAATTAAGAACCCATACCTCTATAAATTTGGCAAAGTCGAAGGTTTGGGTTGTTAGAGAAATTCAGAATTGGATTTGAAGAATCAACTCAAAGTTCGTAAGGTTATTTTATTTTCCGCATAAATTTTATTTATTTAAATTTATATTGTTAATTTTTATATATTTATTATTGTTTGTAAAATTGAGATATACCAAAAAAAAATATAATCATAATCGAATGTTATTTTAATTCTGTGATTGATATTTAAAAAAAAAAAATTATTGATGTTTATGATATATGTGAGATCTATTAATATTGAGATAAAATTGAATTTTGTTAATGATTTATTTGGTATATGTGCAAAGTTAGCTTGGATCTAACCTGAAATTTTAGTGAGAAATATTGAAGAACTGCAAGAAAATATTTTTATAGAAGAGAATAAAGAAATTATGTTATTTTTAAAATTAGTATATTTTTCTTAATGTTTGATGATTTTTATTTCCTATCCTAAAAAAAAAGGAGTGATGATTTTTATTTTATATGAAGTTAAGTTGATTGCCCGCTGTGGCTTTCATTGCCCCGTGGTTTGGGAGCGAATCCGGAGATGCCACGTGGCCGACTAACGTCGCCGCCTTTTTTAATTTAAATTAATTTTAAATCTTTTTTAAATGTTTTTTTATAGATTTCATTATATAATTAATATAAAAA